GAAACTTTCCTCAGAACACTCCTGAAAAGTCCTCGGAATTTTGTTAAAATTCTTCTTAGAATGTTGCAACGGTTCTCTTTAAAATTCCCTAATATTTATTAGGAACCTATTGAACTTATCTCTCGAGCTAAACATTTCTTTAGAATTCTAGCCAACATTGTCAGTCTTTGAAGTGCCAGTCTGTTGAAAAACAAGCTTATTTTAAGAACTTTGAAAATATTTCAATGTCAGATTCTTGGGAAAGATTTAGAGTCATTGGAGTGTCATGGAATATAAAAAAATCAAAGTTAAAAATTGGATTTAAAGAACAAAATATTTTAAAATTTTATAATCTGAATAATAATTTTCAGTTCTTCAACCAAAACCAAGAATCATGAGTATTTTGGTAGGTTATCAAGAAAAAAATGTGTTGCTTTTTTTCGAGTTAACTGAAATAATGAATCTTACTTCAATCTGATTGGGACACTCAAACAAATGTGGAAGATAAACATTAAAAAAAAAGTTGACAAAAGCTGTTGATGACCTATTCTCCCCCCAGCAGGCCTAGGTTCAATCCCAGTCGGTATCACCAGGATGTTCAGAGACATAACATCTCTCATAACGCCTTCCTTCGGAAGGGAAGTAAAGCCGTTGGTCCCTGGTTCATGAGTTGATGGGTCGATAGGAAGGGTCCAGGTGTGGGAGCCACCTTCCTGGCGTCGATAGCATTGGTACTCAGTATGGAAAACAAGATCGACGGGAAACAAATCAAGAAAAAAAAAGAACGACACTAGTTTTCACACGTTTCCCTTTGAAAGCCACTAATTCAACTCAAATCCTTTCTATCAACTAGGGTTAAGATTTACTTTCCCTCATACTAAGCACAAGCCGTACTTAATCTCTCTTTTTTGAATGGGTTTGAACAAATATTTCTCAAAGATGGTTTCTAAATTAATACGTACCGTTAGATTTAATAAAGAGTCACCAATTGTTGGCAAATTGTTAAGAATCTAACACTGCTTTCCCTAATAAAAATAAGCATAAAAGAGAGCTTAATGACGTGTTCATCCTAACCATTTGTTGGATAGTATACCCATCCGGGATACAGTTCGTTTATGGTATTTGTTTATTAGGGTATCGATTCCAATTCGGTCACACGGGTTTCAATTCCTTCCAAACACATAGAAACGTCATTGGATTCACTTCGGCATACGGAATAAGGTAGAACAAATGAATTCCCTAGAAGCGCTTGTTACTTGGGATGGCTGTAAATATTCATTTTATGGATTTTGTTTTTAGCATGGGAACTAAACTATCGTACCAAGCATATGATTGATTTGATCACGTTAAAATCATTGATTTAGTTGATTTTCCGCTCGATAGGACGGAAATGGGCGCTTATGCCAAAGTAAATTAAAATTTAAAATGTTTTATTTATCCTATTAAATGACGTGCACCTCATTTTCTTCATCGGTTATTACGCACCAACTAGAACGTTGAGCCTTCCTTAAAAACAAATGTTTTAAAAGCATTTCCACAGTTGTTAATTAAAAGCTATCTTTTAAATTTGTCGAATCTCTTAACGGAATACGCCGATCAGTACGTCCGGAGGTACGCGGTGAAGTGTCTTCGCTCAATCCAGGACGACGAGCTGTTGCTGTACCTGCTGCAGCTGGTGCAAGCTATGAAGCACGAATCTTATCTCTACTGTGATCTGGTCGACATTCTGTTGCAGCGATCGTTGAACAATCAGCATATTGGACACTTTTTCTTCTGGCATTTACGGTCGGAGATTCAAGTTCCCTCCGTTCAGGTCCGGTTCGGCCTCATCCTGGAAGCGCATTTGAAGGGCAGCCAGAAGCATATATCGATACTGTTGAAGCATATGTAGTGTTTGAGGAAGTTGCAGCATGGTTCAGAACTGGTTAAAAAGGGAAATAAGGAGAAGGGAAAATCGTTACTGATGGATTACCTGCAAGATAAACCCGTTGGTGATGCCATGTCCGATGTGATAAGTCCGCTTAATCCAACACACTACTGAAAAGTCATGTAAATTTCGGTTCCCTGAGACCGACACATGTAAGCGGGCCTTTTGACATAAGAATCAGTTGAAATAAACGTGAAAATCAATTCAATCAAACGTTCTCTTCGTCGACTAGCTGATGTTTTGGTTGGAGAACACTTAATTTTATATGAAATGTTTGTTTACGTTCTATGATTTACGTCCAATATGGATTACGTCTCGTGTAAAAGTAGTTATTTCTAAGTGTGTAACAATAAACAATTTCGGCTTGGCAGTCTGGCAATCACTCAATCAGAACCAGACTGCCAAGCCGAAACTGTTTATTGTAAAACCTCACAGTCGAACACTCCAACACAATATACGGTACAGAACTACTTCGGCCTAAGCGCCCATTTTGGGCCTATCAATCAGAAAACATCAAATAAATCCATGATTTCAGCGTTATCAGGTAAATTATGCGTTTGGTAGGATACTTTACTTCAAATGCTACCGAACGAAGTCAATATGAACGCGCGATATGAATGTTTGCATCCAATATTCTCAATTACAAATGAAGCGCTCCGACCGAATCAATCTTTATATTCATCCGATAGGCCGAAGTGAATTCATTGGCGTTTCAATGCGTTAGGCCGAGTTTAGAATCCGTAGGCCGAGTTGGGCGTCAAGAAGCAGTGTTAGATTTTTAACAATATCTCAACGATTGGTTTCTCTTTATCAAATCTTACGGTACGTACGGAAAGGTAAATGTATTTGGAAGCTCACAGTAATAATAACATTCCGTTTGGTGCTAAGCTTCGCTAGATTAAGAAAGAATTAGTGCGAGTTTTGCTTAATATGCCGAAAATGGGGTAGTTAACCCTAAGTGTGCAACTTTCGTTGTTAGGCCGTACGTAAAGAGGCGTGCAAAGTAATAGACTCGAAGATGCGAACCCTGTGGACTGTTTATCAGAATTCAGACATTAATGGGGACGATATTAACATGATCTTCAAGAACCGTGACGATCTCCGGCAGGATATGCTCAAATTGCAGATGCTGCGAATCATGGATCGAATCTGGAAAAGTCATGGATACGATTTTCGAATGAATCCGTACAGCTGTATCAGTACCGGTCGCCGGTTGGGGATCATTGAAGTAGTGCTTAATGCCGAAACTAATGCTAACATTCAGAAGGAGAAGAGAATGTTCTCGGCCACATCTCCATTCAAGAAGGGTTCCCTGTTAACGTGGCTCAAAGAGCACAACACAACGGACGAAATGCTGGCGAAAGCAATACAGGAATTCACGCTCAAATGTGCAGGCTATTGTGTCGCAACGTACGTCTTAGGAGTAGCCGATCGGCATTCCGATAACATTATGGTGAAAAAGACTGGTCAGCTGTTCCTTATCGATTTCGGCCACATCCTCGGCCATTTCAAGGAAAAGTTCGGTTTCCGTCGAGAACGGGTACCGTTCGTGCTGACACATGATTTCGTTTATGTGATCAATAAGGGTCGAACGGACCGAGAAGCTCACGAATTTCAACAGATTCAGAATCTTTGCGAAGAGGCGTTTTTAATTCTAAGAAAGCACGGTTTCTAATCCTAACACTGTTTGCCATGATGATCGCGACTGGTCTACCCGAGCTGTCTTCGGAGAAGGATCTTAGCTATCTACGGGAAACTTTGGTGCTCGATCTACCGGAGACGGAAGCACGCGAACATTTCAAGTGAAAGTTCAGCGAAGCCTTGGCCAACTCGTGGAAAGCGTCGCTGAACTGGGCTTCGCACAACTTCTCCAAGAACAACAAACAGTGATAGTTGCGTTACAATCTCGCCATGTAAGCCCACCATGGGACGGAACAGTGATATCATCGGCCGTTTCCCGTTCCTGCTGGAAAGGAATTGGTAGAATTTTGCATTCAAAATCGTGGATTACAATTAATGAATGCAAGTTGAATTGTGGAACGGCGATGTACCGCCAGTGCAAGACACTTTACGTATTCAATATATTGCGCATTTCGTGATGCATTTCTCATTTAGTATCGTCATCTAAATTGCGAATTTTCATAGCGCTAATAAACAAATTGCGAAATCATTTATCTCACATGTAGATGTCCTTTTGTGGCGTTGTACAGTTTTAAGAGTTATTTTTAGTTAATAAATACAAGAAATCAAAGTGCATGATATTTCAATAAATCATATAGGCTAAAATAGTCACGTTTTTAGAGTAAAGTTAAAACAAATTGTGTGATTTGCGTCTTCAGTCGGAAATTCAAAATTTATGTTCGTCTTTCAAGATTAGTTAAAAAGAGGGAGCATGAATGGAGAGACTTTGTGAACTTTGTAATAAATTTGCGCAAAACGATTTGCTGGCCTCATTGGACCGGTCAATCCCATCGCGCTAGCCTAGAGATATTACCCCAAATAAATTGCAGATAGTTGCAAACGACTGATAAAAAAAATCCCTTTATGAAGAGCTTTCCTTTATTTCCTTTCAATTCCGTTATAATTGCTTATCTTTTGAGAGATTCGCGTATTTCGTCTACTACTTGCAGACTTCATCAGTGCCAAGTACTCAACACCACTGTTAAGAGGTATCTGTAAAAAGATAAGCAATTATAACGGAATTGAAAGGAAATAAACCAACACACTAAAAGCTCTTCATAATTAAGTGCTGTCTAGTCCTATACCAATTTTCATTCGTATATTGTTGGGCTATGGTTCCGTATTCGTAACATTGTAATTATTCCAAGAAAACAGTATGGGAAAAACGAACCTGCTTCACCCTGTCTCTCTCTCTATTCCCACTATTCATAAAAGCAAAACATTGTACCGATATGCCACCAGTGCCTGCGACCTTCGGTGCTCAAATTCCATTACTTCCCGACACCAATCATCATTGCCGCCGCAGAACCGGTTTTGGAAAATTGCATTAATCCAACCCAACAACAGCAACCGTAACCTGTAACCACGTTGGTATGCATTACAATGTATGTACTATGTTTATTTTCAACCATAGGTCCTGGTGGTATCACCGCAAAACATCGACGACGACGTCTTGACGCTGCTGGCCGACTCGAAGGTACGACACCTGTACCTGCTGCAGAACCGGTACACTCCGGCGGCCATTTCGATCACACCCGGCACCGTCAAGGGCTGGCGGATGGTACGCCATGATAATCCAAATTTACGGGTCCATCTACGCGTCGAGTCAACAAGTAGCGGCGAAATTCTACTCCAACCGGAGGCACCGGTGCACAGCATGATTTATCAGTCACCCAAAACAATGGTGAGTCCATGTGTGAGTGTGAGTGTTTTAAGCCTCTGAATACAGTCAGGAATCCTTATTGCCGGGGTAACGGGGGCGTGAATAAGGAACCGCGAATAAGGATACCCACAGCTTATGGGATTTTCACTAATGGGGGCTGTAGTGGATTATCTCATTTGTTTCAATACATAAAGCTATACTGTCTTCGACAAAGTTGCTGTACTGGGTTAGACCAACAAGCCTGTGCCATTGGATTCAGGTTAAATTGGGAACTACGCCGCTAGAGGCGCTTCACTTTTATGTTACTTATGACGGGCGCTATAATATATGGATCATATTTCCAACATAGAATATTTCGTGATCCTGACCATATAGAAAGTTATTGTCTTCAGCAAAGTTGTTCAGGTGATCAAGTCCTTTCGGATGGTGGCCATATTAGTTCAGAACTCTCTCACTACGCAGCGCTAGTGTGCATGTGCAATTCCTATATAAACTGTATCTCGAGAGCCTGGCCATATAGAAAGTTGCTGTTTTCAGCAAAGTTGTGCAGGTGATCAAGTCCTTTTGGATGGTGGCCATATTAGTTCAGAACTCTCTCACTACGCAGCGCTAGTGTGCATGTGCAATTCTTATATAAACTGTATCTCGAGAGCCTGGCCATACAGAAAGTTGCTGTTTTCAGCAAAGTTGTGCAGGTGAGCAAGTCCTTTCGGATGATGTTCATATTAGTTCAGTACACGCTCACTACGCGGCGCTAGTGTGCAAGTAAATTTCCTGTATAAGCTGTATCTCGAGAACCTGGCCATATAGAAGGTTACTGTCTTGAGAAAAGTTGTTCACGTCACTAAGTCCTTTCGGATGATGGTCATATTATTTCAGAACCCTCACACTACGTGGCACTAGTGTGCACATGAACTTCCTTAATATGTTATGACTCCAAAACTTATCCATATAAGATGTTGCTGTGCAATGTGAGAACAGGAACTGGAAATCGATGTCAGATGCCATTTTGGAATCCAAGATGGCGGCCATCGGTTCAAGAAAAACTGTCAAATACCGTACAATATGGATATTTTTGGAATGGGGATGACGTGTAGAGGCCGGAAATCGTTGCCAGACGTCATTTTGGAATCCAAGATGGCGGCCATCGGGTCAAGAAAAACTGTCAAATACCCTATAATACGGATATTTTCGGATAGGAGATGACATGTAGAGACCGGAAATCGATGTCAGATGCCATTTTGTAATCCAAGATGGCAGCCATCGGGTCAAGAAAAACTGTCAAATACTCTACAATATGAGTATTTCCGGAAAGGGAACGACGTGTAGAGGCCGAAAATCGATGCCAGATGCCATTTTGAAATTCAAGATTACGGCCATTGGTTCAATAAAAACTGTCAAATACCCTACAATATGAGTATTTCCGGACGTGTAGAGGCCGGAAACCGATACCAGGCGCCATTTTAAAAACCAAGATGGCGGCCATCGGATTTAAGAAAAACTGTCAAATATCCTACAATGTGGGAATTTCCGAAAAGGGACGACGTGTAAAGGTCAGATATACATTCCAGACGCTATTTTGGGATCCAATATGGCGGCAACATGTTTTCCATAAATAAGGCTTACCAAGCATATTGCGTATAATTTATTGTGTATAGCGTATCATTGAGCAAGATCGCAACATAACGTGGAAAATTCCGCAAAACAATAAAATGCTTTGCTACAGATTTATTCCACATTTTGTTTTCTCTTTCGATAACAAAGAACCAACCAGCGCTGTCATGTTTTATGCATTCTAGTCACTCTCGTTCTTCCACACCGTGAGATGGGTCTCGACTTCCCTTAGCAAATCTTGCATTTTTGCACTCCGTTCAACATTGCTGTCCAATGTGTAGAAACTTTCGACCTCGGATAGTTGATTTAGTTTTAACTCGATTTCTGCCGCACCAGGTGGTGGATGAAAATATCAACCATATTCACTGTAGAGTGGTCCAGGAATAAATCTGTAGTTTACGATAGAAAAAAAACAAAACAATTAAAAGCGTTTTATTGTTTTGAGGAATTTTCCACGTTATGTTGCGATCTTGCTCAGTGATACGCTATACACAATAAATTATACGCAATATTCTTGGTAAGCCTTATATATGGAAAACATGTTTTTTTAACTAGTTCGTTTATTTGGAAGGCTCAATCACGTTAGCTTTACGGAGCCGATAGTTTATTGTTCTTTGTTAGTAACAACATTCACTTAATTCTATGTCTAGTAGGAGTTGGGCCGAATACTCGCGGCTTACTCGAGGTAAGAGAGGTACATTGTCGAAGGATAGGATCAGGGGAGGAGCTTGGGGGTAAGGTTTCGTTGTCTCATCAGAGCGTTGTCACCAGTATGAACGGTAGTGCAGGATTCCAAAATAGCGTCTGGAATCTATATCTGGCCTCTACACTTCGTCCATTTTCGGAAATTCCCACATTGTAGTGTATTTGACAGTTTTTTTTAAACTGATGGCCGCCATCTTGGATTCCAAAATGACGTCTGGCATCGATTTCCGGCCTCTACACGTCGTCCCCTTTCCAAAAATATCTATATTGTAGGGTATTTGACAGTTTTTCTTGAACCGATGGCCGCCATCTTGGATTCCAAAATGGCATCTGAAATCAATTTCCAGCCTCTACACGTCATCTCTTTTCCGGTTCCTGTTCTAACATTGCACAGCAACATCTTATATGGAAAAGTTTGGAGACATTACATATTAAGGAAGTTCATGTGTACACTAGCGCCGCGTAGTGTGAGAGTTCTGAAATAATATGACGATCATCCGAAAGGACTTAGTCACCTGAACAACTTTGCTGAAAACAGCAACTTTCTATATGGCCAGGCTCTCGAAATACAGTTTATATAGGAATTGCACATGCACACAAGCGCTGCGTAGTGAGAGAGTTCTGAACTAATATGGCCACCATCCAAAAGGACTTGATCACCTGCACAACTTTGCTGAAAACAGCAACTTTCTATATGGCCAGGCTATCGAGATACAGTTTATATAGGAATTGCACATGCACACTAGCGCTGCGTAGTGAGAGAGTTCTGAACTAATATGGCCACCATCCGAAAGGACTTGATCACCTGAACAACTTTGCTGAAGACAGTAACTTTCTATATGGTCAGGATCACGAAATATTCTATGTTGGAAATATGATCCATATATTATAGCGCCCGTCATAAGTAACATAAAAGTGAAGCGCCTCTAGCGGCGTAGTTCCCAATTTAACCTGAATCCAATGGCACAGGCTTGTTGGTCTAACCCAGTACAGCAACTTTGTCGAAGACAGTATAGCTTTATGTATTGAAACAAATGAGATAATCCACTACAGCCCCCATTAGTGAAAATCCCATAAGCTGTGGGTATCCTTATTCGCGGATAGCCCGGCAATAAGGATCCGGCAATAAGAGATACCGGCAATAAGGAATCCGGCAATAAGGATTCCTGACTGTACAGTGCATTTTCTGTGGTGGTTTTTAGAGTGTTGCGTTCCGAGTGTGTCCACCAACACATCAAATTCAAAAACCGAGAGCTTTGAATGGCTTCAGTTATTTAATCTGGTTGCTGCTGTTTGCTTAACGTCTCGGGTGTCCAATTTTCCCATTTCTGTCGATTAGCACATGGGTCTGCTGGATGTACGCAGATCTTCGCCGAAGGGTGAAGCAGTGTTGAAAGCTCCCACATGTAAGCATCCTGGTCCCCAGTCTGAGCATACCAATGCAATTTGCGATTGCATTTGTGCTTCAGCAAAAGCTTCCCAGCAGCCACGACCGGAATGGAGGAAGGAGAATGGAACGGATCCAGGTGACCGGGAGTGGTGATGACGACGCGGCGGGGTGTTAATTAAGTTTGGAGATAGTTTGTTTATTATTCTTATTCATATGCATAATGGAGTTGGCTTTTGGGCGAATCCACACAAATGAATTGAGTACGAGAGGATCTACGGTAAAACTGTTTGTGCGAGCATAGTGCTGCATGGGGTGGGGTGACCGGGAGTCGGGCGGCAGCGTATCTGTTCCGGTGCTGTGTTTTCCTGTATTTTAATGCTGTTGAGTTGTTGCCCTGTTGCTGGTGTGGATGGTGGATGGTGAGAGTGTTTTTCAACATTTCAACTCGGCGCTTCTGTTTTAATTTTCAGATTACTTCGGATAAGCTGCTCGCTGCAGTCGATGCTTACAAATTTACGCTCGCCGTCTATGGACACGAGATGCTACCAGATTTTAGCAGTCCGGTTGAGTTTCAGGATCGGGTCGATAGCTTGATGGTGCTGATGGCTAGGTCATGCCCGGAGCTGAGCGTACTGGTAAGTGAACAATGTGCTGCTAGAGCCTTAAGCAAACAGTGACCTGCTATCGGCACTAATTATTCTGCTGAAAGCAGATAGAGCTGACCTGACTCAAACATTTTTGGGTAGCCGCAGTAGTAGGTGCAAATCAAAAACGCAACGATTTGGACTGATTTTCATAAATCTTTAAACCAAATTGTTGTATAGTAAGCAGAATCGGACCCACCGAAGAAACTAATTTCAAACCATAACCCATTCCATTCCAGATGATCCGCGAGCGCATCTCAACGACCACGCTACTGCTGATAGCACGCAGTGCACAGAACCTCCGTCAGCTGTACGTCCGCCACAGCCAACTAGTAGAAGAATGCGACTGGCCCAAGAACCCCGAATGGACGGACGAATTTTTCCAATGGCTGCAGACATCATCCCGTTCCATCGCTTCAACTGAAAAGGAAATTTCCCAAATACTGCAAACCGACTGGAAAACTTTAAGCGACGAAAACTTCCCGAAGGCTTCCCTCACCAAATACGTGGATCATTGAATTTAATTCGACGAAAATTGAACAAAACAAATGATACAAAAGAAGATACTCAAATATTAAACGAACAATAAAGATGAAGGACGCCAACCGTTTTTGTTGGAATCTCAAGAGCAAGAGTAAGAAAGAAAATCCTCCGGGCAGCCTTTTAATTAAGTGAAGATAATCGAACAATTATTCCACAACTTCCTCTGGATCCACATCCCTCAAGGCTAACAACGGTGAAGAGCCACTCGGGACAAGGGAAGGCACTAACCACAAACTGCACCTACGGTGTTTCTTATTCCGCTTTGGTGAAATTTCTTGAATCGTTATTATCAGCAATCATAATAATAATGGAGGGGCCTTCGCAGTTGGTTTCCCCCCTCGTGGTTTATGGTATCACTTGGTTTCAAAGTATTTTGCCTGACCTCGTCCCCTCGGGGGAGCCATTGCCATAATGGGAAGGTATCCAGAAATATGCGAGGAAGATGAAGGAATTCAGTGCTTTTCTTCTTGCACCATTTTGCCATCAGGTGGATTGAAGTCGGTTGGAAAGTTTGCATATAGGGGAAATGGATGTAATGTCGGCCTAAATGCTTCTAATTTGGGCCCATACATTGAGCAATCGAGTAAATTTTCAATAGCGACCAAAAATATCCATTAGTATCGTCCCAATGACGCGTTCATCTGGATAAAATTTATAATTAGCAGATTTTAGATCCATAGGCCAACATTAGAGCCATTTCCCCTACTTTAGGTTCATGGGAAAATTTAGGAAAGGGAATAACAGAGGAGCTGAAAACAGTATCCAGATCATAACAGCCAATTTCAGCCAACCAAAATAGAATAATTATCTTCAGCAGCCCAGAATCCTCTGACAGTGAAAGACATCAATTTCTTTGAAAAAGTTTTAGATTAATTAGACGATTCACGGTAACTCGCAACAACTCAAAATTGAGTCGAACATGCTCATTTCAGCGCGAAGTATGGCTACTCAAAAGTGAGTAGGCGCACTTTTACTCCCTTTTGAGAAAACGACGTTCAGTCAATGTCTGTGATACTTTCAACCGGAAAAAAATTGTTTTTTTAATTTGTTTTGATAAAAAATAGAAATTACCTACTCCAGATTTTTTTAACTAGAGCTGCAAACGACTGAAAATCGTCTCCGCATGCAATTCCTGCTTACCTTAACACATTTCGGCCGGTGTTTTACAATAATTTCGCCTTTTCTTAGAGCGTTTGCTGCGACACGGCTGGCATTTTATCGTCGATTTGGCTGACTGAGTGGCTTTTACTCAGTTTGACATTTCTCGTTTACTCAGATTTTGACAACCTAATGCATCAGATGAAATTGAGTACGATCGACTCGCCCGGTGAGTAAGCTGAAGTAAGCGTGTTGGGTAATGAAACTTTCCAGTAGTTCTAATAACCATTTCATTTAGTTCTATTAACCAACATTTTGAATCGATCTCAAGCACACCAGAAATAGAATGAGTCGATTATTGGGCGTAAATCAAAATCAATATATCACACATACTGAACCGTACAAACCGAACAATATATCACGCTCACTCGAGGTTATACCACCAGGGGATAATAGAGAATCTGATATATTAACATTTTTTTCAACTGAAACGAACTTACCAAATTCATGTTTGCTGTTCAATTGATTTATACACTATGCATTCGAAGGCCCCCAAAACATTCCCTTCGTGCACGGATCTTGGCTCCGCACGACATTCATCAAAAAACCACCATGTATGACTTTCTCCAGTCAATTTAAATATTCGCACAAAATTAGGAATGATTAACTTTTTTACATATCATTTTAATTTTTACATAGCTGGCACTTTCCATCACCAATCCCGATCATTAACTCAAGTCAGCCAAACACTGCATGATTGAACGTGTTCTCGAACACACCACACTCGCGTGAACAAAAGCCTACACTCAAAAAATTCAACACGTTTGATCGAAAGGTTTAAACACTTGATTTTCTAAATGCACAATCACATTTACTTTAAGTGTATTTCACCTTGGTTCAATGTGTTAACACGTTAATTTCTGGTGTTTCAAACTTTGAAATGTTGAAAAATCTTTCACTATCTATTCAAGTGTATTGCACATTGAATCGCACTTCTGTTCAAAACAGATGGATTTAAAGTGTTTCGCATTTCAATGCAATGTGAATTGCTTGCTCAGAAAGGTAAACATCGAAAACAAGAGTTGTGACTTCATCCTATCAACCCGCCTCATATATTAGAACAACCGTGGCACAGTGAGATCGAACAAAGACTCCGGCAGCAGCACACCCCAACAGTCCATGATCGAATCCCAAATCAGACCCATTAAAAAGATATGTGAAAGCTCTGGCCTCTGGAAGTTTTGTTTATATATTTGTCGATTAATTTTTAGAGTCGGTAAAGTAGAAGTCGATAAAGTAGAATATTGTAGAATATTGAACTATGATGTGCAAAGCTATTGATATCACCATATGAGGCACATAGAATCCAAGTGTGTCACAATTCAAATCCATAGAGTTCAGGCATGGTTCATAGCATAAGATTCACACATTAAATGGATGTGTTTCACAATAAGCGCAAAATTAAGTGTGAGACACATGATGATGACGTGTGGAATTTTTTGAGTGTAACTCCTCGCACCAACACACAGTGGTTCTCCTTAGAACAAAAGTTGGCCAAACCCTTAAAATTGTTGCAAATAGGTAAAAAACAGTTGGAATATATGTTTTTTAGCTGTACGAAGAAAACTTGACAATCAATACGTCACAAAAAGGAGTAAAGTAAAACCAAAACCAATGTACATAATGGTGCCAAAGACGTATTTAGGAAGACAAAAATGATTGCGCCCAAACCATCAGTTTCAGATATATGGTTTTTTGGGGAAAGTTGCTTCATATTTTTGTTCAATCTTTTTTTGTTCGTGAAATTAGGGTGGTCCATAAAATTGGTGAATTAAAAATACAAACTTTTTTATTATTTGAGATAGACCAAAGCAGTGTTGAAGACACAACGTTTTTATCTCTTATGGTTCATAAGTTACGATATTTTTAAACAAGCAGGTTAGGGTGGCCTCTAATATCGGTGGCGCATATTTTTGCTCAAGCAACTAGTAACTGATTAGAAAGTTAAAGGCTATTTTCTTCGACAAAATTGCTCTTTTAAATTGTCAATATCTCAAAATGAAGCAAACCGATTTTCCAACATTTAACCTCATTGAAAAAATCGTTTTTTTCTTCATTTTTGGTAAAGAAAAACTGGAAAAGGTTTTTCTGTTTAAAGCATTTGATTTAATTAAAAAAGTAATATTTTTCAGCAACTAGCCATAAATTTTCAAATCAAAGAGATAACAACTTAGCAAAAATATGCGTCAGAAAAAGTTCTTAAAGTTTTTTTTTTTTATTGATGCATTTATTTTTCCAGGCTTATTTGCTGTAGCTTTGCGGAGCCAATATTCATTGTTTAAATAACAAAATAACTTAAAACTGACGCTAGTAAAGCGGGGGCCGATTACTCGTGGCTATCTCGAGGTTAGGAGTAACAAATTGTAACAAATTGATGGCAGGGTAGGGATTGAGAACACAAGGTTTGGAGTAGTTCTTAAAGTGACTAGTATAAAAATTTCACGAGAAATGATCGTATAAAAAGATATTTAAAGAATGCCGATTTTCTAGGGGCCACCCTAACCTGCTTGTTTAGAAAAATCATAACTCATGAACCATAAGAGATAGATATATAGTGGGTGTGTATGTGTTTGAGTGTTGATGTGCTTTAAAAAAGGCATTGTTCAGCTTGCTACAGTATACACCGCAGATTATAAAACTAAGAAACGGATATTTTTCAAAGAACACTTTACTTGTTACGCCTATCTGAAAGCTAACTTTCCTAGCTATCTTTTAATTACTAAAGGATAGTGGGCGGATGTGTCCGTCATATGTTTTGCTAAGTCTAAGTGTGAATAAAGTATATTTTTGCTAATTTTGTAATAGAAACTGTCACTTAAAACAGTGCAGACACTCTTTTTTACCATTCATTTGACGTGAAATAAACCGAGGAACATTTTTTTTGAAGCAACCAAGTTGATAAACACAAGAAACAATACGATTTTTAAAAAAATATGTGATATCGCTACACTATAACAACCATAAAAAGATATTTAAACTGCACAAATCATTCAATTTAAGATACTCATAATGTGTTAAAATAGTAAAAAAAATATTGAAATAAAAAAATTACAACTATATTTTTTGATTCAAAGTGTTTTTATGTTACTTCATACGCGAAGTTAACGATTTTCAGAGTTGGTTGGAAATGCTAACATGAAGCTTTAGTGTGATGATTTATTGGCTAGAGAATGATCTTTAGAAGAGGGTAGGTGGATAGTTCCGTTAGAGTACGGCAGTATGAAAATTGAATAGAAGTTGAAAATGAGCGAAGGACCATTAATGCGACAGTTTTAACTTCGTTAACGTCAGTTAACTTCGCGTATGAAGTAACATAAAAACACTTTGAATGTAACAACTCAAGGCGGGAGTAGCCGTCAACAATGCTGATGATGGTACAGCACGCAACAACCACCCTACTGCCTTCTCTCTGAGATGATCACGTTGGTCATGACGAGAGGAGCAACACAATAGTTGGGTAAAGAAGAACTGCATTATAACACACCATCGACTGGAAATGCTCTCGCAACGTGGGGCTTTAGGTAGTGATGAAAACGTCGCTAGAACTATTCCACAGCCGCAGTCAGTTTATGAGCAAAAAGAGGGACGCACATTTTTGCCTGTGGACTTGGAGACATACTTCAAGTCCCCGCGTACATCGTACGGGTTAGGCAAAAATGTGCGTCGATCTTAAAACTGTCGCATTAATAGCCCTTCGCTCATTTTCAACTTCTATTCAATTTTCATAATGCCGTACTCTAACGGAACTATCCACCTACCCTCTTCTAAAGATCATTCTCTAGTTAATAAATCATCACACTAAAGCTTCATGTTAGCATTTCCAACCAACTCCTATATTTTTTTAGTTTTTGGCCAGCAGGAACCACTGTGCAACTACACGCTCAATTGTGGTCATACCGAATTTAGGCGGGTAATATGACAGGTGGGCAGGAGCTCACGGTCTCCCAGTGTTGGTGAGTTCTTTGCGATTAATGTTCACGGAAAGTTCACTATTTTTCCATACAGAAAATCAAAACAAAAAAAAATATGGGAGGATTAGAACAGTTTTTGACCTGTTTCATACGACCGGAAGGTGTATGCTGGTCACAAATGCCGTGCCAAACTGATTTCCTACGCAATTATTCAATCTTTGATGTGAATTTCGCTAATAAACATGTGGAGTATTTCTAATAGGAAAACTTGCCATAACTAAATGGACATAGTTCATTTTAGTAAACAAACTAACACTTCTTCCTACTGTGTCACCTTTATATTACCCGCCTAGATACCGAACACCAAAAGGGCAGCACACAAAGCACCATTGCTGCTACAAAATGTTTGCAAACACCACTTTAATCTGATTAAGCTATCGCACTCATGCACACAGATGTGCCAATATTTAAGTTGAAATGCTCTATAAAAAAATGTGGAGGTCGTGGTGGCCGTGGAGGCATCATGATTAAGCAAAGTTGCATCAGTAGAATTAAAAATATTCTCCATAAACCAAGGGAAATTTTCAATAAAAACAGATTAAATGTATCCCTAAAATATTTATGAAATGTGCCTTACAAAACAAAAAAATGTTCCATAAATTTGAAATTGGCCAATCAAAAATATGAAGTGTTGCAAAAAGTACACTTTTCATTTCAATCTGAAGTTAAGTGTATTGCCTATAACACATAATAATACAAAAATTCATGCAAATTGGAGTACGTCGAGTCAAAACTTGTTTTTATCCTTGTTTTGGCAAGGAACTGGGCTCATTTCATAAGTTTGAGCAAACATCTTATATTTTTTAGTGCACATATCATCTCTTTTGGAAGCTTCGTTTGTATGTTTCTTTTGGAAGCTTCGTCTGGAGGTTTCTTTTGGAAGCTTCATTTTGAAGCTTCTTTTGGAAGCTTCTTTTGGAAGCTTCGTTTGTAATCTTCTTTTGGGCATTTGTCCGTCCCTCCCCTCATCTAACTAAAAAAAGGGTAAGACAGTAAATTCATAAAGGTAACTCTAAGACCAGAAGGTCCCGAAGAAACGAGCTCAACTTTTTGGCTCAGCTCTGGTACTCTTTTCGGTCCCAAGCTAATCTTTGCATCCCTCGAAACATAGGAAAATCCACTAACCCCTCATTTTATCTGTCAAACTTTCATAGTGAATTAAAACAAACATTGTTTAGTACTAGAATTTCGTTAATCGATTTGCTTGGGACCAATAGGCTAGTCAGGACTAGGAATTGGTGGTAGATCTTACATCCTGTAACGTACCACGAAAAGGTGATCTACCCACGTTACGGGGCAAATCGTTAGTTTCCACCGGTTGGTAATACCGTGCCTTTACTGATTAAAGGGTGTCCACAGTTAAATTGCATCACTTTAAAAAAGCTGTAACATTTTGCCCTTTGGGTTAGCTTTAATGAAATTTTGGGTGAGATGGCCTCAGCGTGTATTGTTTACACTGCGTGAGTTTCATTGTAAAATTTCTAGTAGTTTTGAAATTACATCAGAGGAACAGCGCTTGCGAGAGAAAATTCAACAACCTACATCTTTCTCACCGAGCCATCGGAAAGATGTTGGGAATCCAAAAATCTACTGTTTCTCGTGTCATAAAACGTTTTGAAGAAAGTTTAACCATAGAGGTAACTCTAAGACCAGAATATCCCGAAAAAAAAGTGCTCAACTTTTTGGCTCAGCTCTGGTACTATCTTCAGTCCCAAGCTTATCGATGCACCCCTCGAAACATAGTGAGCCAATTTAAAATCATTAGTTTCCACCGGTTGGTTTAACTGTCGATTGGAAGCAAGTGAGTTCAAGGAAAAGTGTTCCATACTGCGTTGAAGATCACAAGCGAGTGGTTTTGCTGCCTTCAAACGCAAACCTCAAAAAAACTGCACTTGACAAACCCCCTTATTCTGCGAGTCACGTGACTTTCTCTCACCGGTGAGGTGACAATTGTCACCTCGTGTGAGGTGACTCTCCATGCAAATCAAATGAAGAGTCACCTCACACGAGGTGACTATTGTCACCTCACCGGTGAGAGAGAGTCACGTGACTCGCAGAATAGGGGGGGAAAAGTTTCGTGCAGAAAGCTAAGAAACGAGCCGAACTACGTTCGCAATGAACGACAAAATAGGACAGTTAGAACGCGGACACGTAAGCTGTACACACACATGCTGACAAAACCGCGTAAAAGCAGACTTCAAACAAATTCCGGGAAACCAGTATGTGACTGCGAAACACAAGTTCGATTTTTCCGAGTCCCTCAGGAAACAGCAAGTGTCCCAGTTCCCCAAGAAATTCATGGTTTGGTAGGCGATTTGTTTGTGCGGAAAACAGACAACGCCTTTTGTAGAAACTACAACCGTGAATGGCCAAGTCTACATGAATGAGTGCCTGAAGAATTGACAGCTTTCGTTTCTTCCGATCTAGCCTCTTGTCACTACTCCAAGGACGTTCTGGACTGGTACAAGACGAATGGGGTCAATTTCATGCCGAAGGATCTCAATCCCCCAAACACACCGGAGTTGCAGCCGATCGAAAGATACTGGGCTATAATGAAGCACGAACTCCGTAAACATCCTAAAGCTGTCTCTACGGAGCAGGAAATGTTGAAAGCATGGTTGAAAGCAGAAAAATATCGATTCAACCGTTGTACAAAACCTTATGGGTGGAATTAAGAAGACAGTTCGGGCATTTGAATTTAGTGGAGCTGAAATAAAGAGTGGAATAAAGATGCGTAATCCAAGCTTATATATAGTATTTAATTCCCTGAAAATTTCGTGACAATTGGATGAGAGACTTATTTTTTGCGAGTACTTCTAAGTGATGCAATTTGACTGTGGACACCCTTTAGGCTGGAAGAGGATACAATCAAAAAATAAATCTCATTTCCTATGGAAAATATCCATTAGAATTTCACATTTTTTTAATTGGGAATCGCACTACAAAATCACATGAAGCTTATGTGTCCAATGAAATTTTTGTGATTTATCACATAGAATTTTTGTGATCATATGAATGTTATGTGAATTTTCATTAATTTTGTTATTGGAAAAATATCATGTGCGTTCCCAATGGATAATATATGAAAACTTTTTTCGGCATAGGATTGGACGATATATTACTACTAGGACAATCATGCTCATGCGGAAAAGATAGTACACAACCCCCTCATTTTTCGCAATACTTTATTCCAGGCGTATTCGCCTTAATCCACGAAAGGTACCCCGTTGTCCTAGTATTGACACTAGGATATGCACTCGCACAAGCTACCCCATAGCTAATCACTCCGATATGATACACTACGCCCGTGTTGGGATTCGTATAAAGTACAGGCCCGCCCGAATCATACTGGCAAGTGTCCCGTCCTTCCGCGAAAGTACACATCTGATTCAACGTAATGCCGGAACTGTTCATCTTTAGCTTGCACTGCTCGTGACTGACCACCATTAGGCTAACCTTCCTCAACACCGATGACGCTGGAGCGCCAAAATCCATCGTACCCCAGCCAACGGCTTCCACTAGCATGTTGTTGAAGGTTGCCGTTGACCAACGCCACGGTAGGCATGCCGGCCCAACGCCTGCATTGAAAACGATCGGATTCCGAGTTCGCACCATGGCGATATCATTCGTTGACGATTTTGCTCGATATCCACCATGGATGGTGAAGGTGCTGATCGACATTACGGTGGCATGAGGGGTATCCGATCCGATGGATAGATCGTGATCTCCTACTAGTAACGCTGTACTGGCGATTTTCTGTCCCGCTAGGCAATGCGCTGCAGTCAGAGCGTGTCTGTTGGAAACTGAAATAAGTATAACGTGTAATTTTTTTTCAAATATTTTCAACTATGACATCACATTACTTATGGTAGCTCCGCAAAACACCCTCCTCCCGGAAAGGTTCACCAGTCCGGCCATCATCGGAAACTCGTTGACCAGTGTCTGTACTCCATTGACGATTTTCACCGTTCGGCGACGTCCACAGTCGCACGATGGTGGGTTGGCTACAATCTGGCAACTGAAACGACCTCCAGTGGAAGATTTCTCCGAACGCAGTGCCACAGTCAACTTGTTTGCAGTGGCTTGCACTATGAACGTGGAAAGTCCGCAGTATCGAGTAGCTCCTGCAAGAAGAGCATTTCCGCTGAGGGACACCTCAATGCGGTCCGCCAAGCAGTTGGTGCTCTACGATGGGCAAGTTTGCTCGTAAATTATTAATATTGTAAAGAAGCATTGAACTTACACTCGGGAGGACCACATCGTAACAGTTCACCTTGAGAATGTAACCAGTAGGTCCGGTTAACCTCCATCGGCAGTTGGTGTTTGGCTTGTAGTAGTTCCCGTATCCGGGTGACTGAATGTAGAATACTTCATCTGCGGATAGGGTTCTAACTGTATCACATCCCGAGAACACACCAAGACATTCGATGTAGGGAAGGTAACTGAGAACTATCGTTGAAAGCAGAGCTGTAGTGTGAAAATAGTATCAGTAAAACACACAAAAACTAACGGCACAAGATATGGAACCAACCAACGAGATAAAAGTACATTTTGCAATGGCACCGCGCCCCGTAGCAGACAATGATTTCAAGGTGGTTGGGCAATATTCTGAAGGCAGTTTTTTTTTATCTTTAAAAATATGATTTTGATAAAACCAGTGTCCGCGAATTGTTAACAGCAGCAAACATGCTAAATGTCATGACTATGAGATAACGTGCCACTGTCCAATGGAGCAGCACATTTTAAATCAATGAAGAAGTGACGCAGACTACACAGAACCAAGCAAAAATATAGAAAAAAAAATCTAGAATTTTGAAAATAACTTAATTTGAAAGAAAAATACATATATTAGAATCTTACAATTACCCTCAAATAAAAAATTTCTGAAAATTGGTCTTTCTAATCTAGTTTTGAAAACAATCTTAGACCGAGATCTCAATTTTATTCCAGGATCGATTTTAGTTTTGATTTCATGAATTCTTGAATGATATCTAGATTAGGCCATGCGGTTCTTTTAATATTTTTTTGAATTTGTAGCACTTAGCATTTCTAATAAATTTAAAAACTCTGGGACTTACAAAATACTTCGGGAGCTTAACAAAATTGAAGCCATATAAAATATAAAATTTATCAATGTTCTAAAGATTAATTGTATTTATGAATTAGGAGGCATTAGGGTGTATGTCTAACGTTTATTATGTCTAATATCCATTTTATCTGACGACTTATACCAATAGCATTAGTCACACACCAAAAAAACAGTGGTTAGAATAAAAATGTAAATATTGACTTTCAAAAACAAACGAATGTTCATATTTTCAACAATATTCACACGTAATTTTACCAAAAATCTAGCAGGGGTGATAGCAGTATTCTGCAATTCAAATAATGAATTAGTGTTTGTCGCCGTAATGACCCTTTGCTCAATTTCAACTTCTGTTTAATTTTCTCATTACCGTACTCTAGTGGAACTTCATCATCTTCAGCTAAAAAAATATGCACTAAATAAAGCTTCATGTTGATATAAATGCAGTAATGAAACACTTTGATTGAATGAAGCATAAGTTTAACTTATTTTTTAAATATTATTAAAACCATTACAAATATTTGAAAAATATGTCCTTCTCGCACCCCCTTAAAACTGGCATGAAATATCAAGAGGCACAAACATATTTATTTTCAATTTTCTATCTTCGGCTAAAATTGTCTCCCTAAAACCAAAAATATTCCTAAGTCACATACAAAAGCTGTGGCGCCCAAAGAAAAACTAAAGTTCAATTTAATTAATTGTAGTGTATGTTTCGAAAACTTTTAATAAACAAAACATGAATTAGTTTTTCGTTTCTTTCAAATGTTTTGATTTTTAATGTTTGCTTCATATGGTTTTTATCTGTAAAGGGCTTAGTATATGATCTCAAAGAAATTCTATGTTTCTAATTCTAAGTCCAAGTCAAAGATCTTATTGTTTTTACCCTTCTTACAAAGAAGGGTATAGATATCACTTGAAAAACCGACTATCGATCCGAGGCCCGGAGGGCCGAGTGTCATATACCATTCGATTCAGCTCGACGAGATCGGAACATGGCTGTGTGTGTGTGTGTGTGTATGTGTGTATGTGTGTATGTGTGTGTGTATGTAACGAAATGAATGCGCTCACGTTTCTCAGCAACCGCTCAACCGATTTGGACAAACTCGGCGCCAAATGATAGGTCTTGGGGTCACATTGAACGCTATTGAACGGTTTTGGAATCGGTGAACCGGTTCCGGAGATATGGCCGGAATAAGATCCGGTGAATATGGGCCTTCACGCTGGATTTAACGGAAAACGTATTGAAACCATCATGCGACACATCAAATTACTACAGAATTCAAAAATAAGATCAATGCAAGTCGTGTTAAGTGTTCCAGACCACATTGGACACACTTGGACATGTTCCGGGTACCCCGGGGAAGTTGCTTGAATATGAATTGAATTAAAACCCATTAAATCACATTAAAATACGATGATAAGGTGATTGGTAGCCTCACCAAATAGACTACACCCGGATATATTCCGGGTACCCCCAGGCAGTGGCGTAGGCTGGCCTCAACCGCTGATCTGATTCAGTTCCAATCACCGTGTGTGGTGGTATCCGGTCGTCGGCATCAGCTGCAGCAGCAGCAGTGCTTTCGGCGCGTGGTGTTGAACGTTGTTCTCCAGTACACAACGAAAGGCTGCTTGCAAGCAGCGAGCCGCAGCCCGCATGAGCATCCATAGAAGGAGGAACAAGCCGCGCCACTATTGATCGGGATCAGTAGCTCTTCGTGAGTCTCTGTGGGCCATCTATGTCAAGCGTGTCATACTAAAGAGTATAAACAGAGAGAACCCCACTCAAATTCCTTTTCCTACACAAAACACAAGCTCCTGCTGCAGTTAGCAAATAAGATTTATTATATAAGACCACGTAGTTCTACGTCACTATTGCGTACAACCCCATAGGGATGTCCCTTGTAGTTTTTTAGTTCTGCTAGGAAATCCCAAAAATTCTTTAAATTACTGTTCCTGCTAACCATCTTTAGAATTATCTAAACAAATATATCACCGGAATATTCTTGGATTAATTCTCGAAATCCCCTGGAAATTTTCCTCAGATTTTTTTAGGAATATTCCTAAGAATGCCTTTGGTATTATTCTAAGAATTTTCATTTAATATATTTCTGCATTACCTATGAATCTTAATCCTTCACTAGGAATTCAACCCACAACTATTAAATTCTCACCTAGGAAATTACTTGCAGTTATTTTAAAAAAATAACTTAGATTTCTCCGCAAAATTGGCTCTTTGTCTAATAACCTTCATGAATTATCCGAAAACTCCCATGAAATTGAAAGTATCCTCAGAATGTCCTTAGATTTATTTTTTGTATTACCTTGGAGCTCTCCTCAGAATTATCATGGAATAATCCTCCTTCTCTTCCAAATTTTCTCATAAATCCTTAAGAATTAACGTCAAAAACGGTTATGAATTTTCATTCAAAGTCTTTTGAATCCTATTGAGAAATGCCTTGGAATTCTATTCAGATCTATCTGTTTTTGTAAATGACCCCAAACTTATGATCGATGACATGAATTACTATTTGATTTATTTAAAATATTTTCTTAATTTTCCCAACAAAGTTTCATTAAAATTCCTGGATAAATATCTTTCCAATCAGGCTACAAAGGCCTTAATGTCTTATACTGTCCGAAGAAGTCGTCTCCACTCTACTCGATTCATAGCCACACGTCATCATCCTCGTAGTCCGCGAAGGTCCGCAGGTCACCTGCTACTTGGTCGATCCACCTTGCCCGCTGCGCGCCTCTTCTTCTTTTTCCTGTTGGGTTGCTTTCGAGAACCATTTTCGGTCCGAAAATCATTTTACAACGTTCCCAGCCCACCGTAGCCACCCAATTTTTGCAGTGTGGCCGATGGATGATTCTCCCAGCAAATGCACAGTGGTCTAAAAGTGCCAAAACGTGCGTTTTTTAATTTATGCGAAAACGGTCCATTTAAGCCATATAGTGTCTTTGGAGAAGTTTGTGCACTTAAAAAGTCCATTCTTTTGTGCTTAGTCATTTTATGATTAATCCACCTAGCAGGGAGATGAAAATTTACTTTTTTGATGTTTGTCGATATAGCAAAATGTTGTCTTGAGCAAAGTTTTAGACAATATTAAAACAAACATTTTTGCTGAAGACGTCAACCCTCCCTCTGGAAAGAGCCTTCAGATTTTTGTTTTGCAAATAACTTTTCAGGAAGTAATTTTTTGATATTAGTCTGGTCTACACAAATGTTTGTTTTTTTTTAAATACGCCATTTTGTTTTGGGAAGCAAGTCCCTATCTTCAATATTTCATATGATATTCAAGGTTTTGATCCAATATTAGCACTATTTTCAAGCTCAATAGCTCGAAGTTGGGCAAAATTGGGCAAACCAGGTTGATTAAATTTGAAAGTATACTTAAAATGCTGTCCAATTCATACCAAATCATTAGTCTTCTTTAGTATTCTCTGGTGATCTGCTTATTACCAAACTATAGTAAACCATGTACAGATAATCGTTTTCTTGTCTTTGTACATAGAGGCTCATTCATACGTCACTTACTCTTGGTGTTGAAGGATGAAAATTCGAATTCGGTTAAATCGAATGTTAAAAAATTACTCCCTGAAAAGTTATTTGCAAAAACATGATTTTCTGAAGGCTCTTACCAAAACAATTACATATCTCTGTAAAAATATGAGATAGATGGTTGACCTTTTCACAAAAATCCTCAAGACACCATTTTTGCTATCTCGACAAACAAAAAAAGTAAATTTTTCATCTCCCTACTAGGTGGATTAATCATCAAATAACTAAGCACAGAAGAATGGTCTTTTTAAGTGCAAAAACTTCTTCTGAATTTTAATGGCGATGTGAACATCCATGCATGCAAACATTTATACATGTAAACTTCCTTTTCACGTAAACTAGCAGCTTGCAAGAAATGTTGCAAACAAAAGTGGACAGTTGCATACAATATATGGAATATTGTATGACATGTCACATAAATTTACACGATCTATAATCTAAACTTGAATGATATATGACGCTCCATTTATGTGCATCATAGTAACGGAAATTTACACTACTTTTTTTAGCTGTGTATGGCTTAATGGACCGTTGTTGCATAAACTAAAAAACGCACATTTTGTCACTTTTAGACCACTGTAAACTGGTGCAATTCGTATTTCATTTGCCTCCTCCACGTTCCGTCATCTATCTGCACTCTACCGTAGATGGTACGCGACACCTCTCGTGGCCGTAGATGACTACCGGTCTAATAAACGACTTGTAGATACAGACACCGGAGCATCTTCGGGAGTCCAAAGTAGGCACGATTCCCTGTCATAATGCGTCTTTGAATTTCTCTGCTGGTATCATTGTTGGCGGTCACCAGTGAGTTCAAATACACGAACTCGTCGACCACCTCGATTTCGTCACCGTCAATCTGAACTCGGGGTAGGAGGCTAACGTTGTCTTCCCTAGAACCTCTTCCT